CCAAAAATATGTTTTTACCCGAGAGTCCAACCCACGTTTTAAATTGGCATGAAAATTTCTTTTTATAAGGAGATAGCAATTACTAAACTACAAGAAACGTTCTCTTATTTTCCCCCTTTTTTGAATTATTTTATGGGTAATGATTCATGGGACCATGGCACTATTAATGGAGAACGAATTGTGGAACGAAATAACGTGACAGTGTCGTGTGATGATCTTATTAGAAATTTTTTTTTTTTTTGGGATTCCTTAATTTTTCTTGGTATGATCATTGCACAACTCGTTAATTTCCAGTTTTGAATTGCTTAATGCACGAATTCGACTTATTTTCTAGCATATCCATGGTGCTTCAGTCGGACCTTCAATTAATTCCAATAAGCTTTTTAAGCTCCGATCTACACTCTCAAACTTTTTTCCTTTTTGTCAAAACACTGTCGGAATTAGAGGATGATGAATGGTAAAAATACAGATGAATAAAGAGGTAGAGAAGGAAGAAGAAGATAGTTTAATAAAGTATTAATGTGACACTGCCACATCATTTTATTTAGGAATTTGTGCTTCATCGATTGTCCCATGAATCATTACTCTTATTTTAATAATGGAGAGAGAGAAGGGAATGAAACCTCTTAATTCTTTTGTTTTCATTTTTCTATCATGTGGCATTACAGTGAATTTCCAGTGTTCATTTAATTTTTTTTTTAAATAAAAAAGTATGTAAATATTTTATTTTGATTATTTATTTAATTAATAAAGTTAAAATTATTATATTTTATACAAATATTTTAAATTATTTAATTAAATAAAAATATTATTATTTTTTCTCCTTCTCTTTTGTCTATTCTTAAGTATAACACTAATCATTTCATTTCCTCCCTTTTTTTTTCTCTTTTTCTCCCCCTCCTTTTCATCCTCGCCATCATTGGAATAGTAGAATTAATTAAAAACAAAATATAAAGTAAAGGAAGTATAGGGTAACACTAATCATTTCATTTCCTCTATTTTTCCTCTTTTTCTCTCCACTCATTCTCATCATCTCCCTCGTTTGAATAATAAAATTAATTAAAGACAAAATATAAAGTAAAGGACTTTCTTTTCTTTTTTTTTTTTAATCAAATAAAAAATTATTTTTTATTTTGTCAAACCTAACATATTCCACAAAATATATTAGGAGACTATTCACCCGTTGATTTAGTTGGAAAAAAACTAGATTATCTTTAAATAAGATTTTAAGTTTGAATTTTATAAATAAAAAAATATGTGTGAGAGAATTTTCCCCTTATGGGTTTAACATAATTATACTTTGGATTAATCTAAGGGAGTCCGATGTAACTTGATTCTAAATTAATTAAAATTTAATATGATATTTAAATATTAAAGGATTAGTATTAAAAAAGAAAAAGAAAAAATAGGAAATAAGATAAGGTACGAATTTAAGTCCTTTAAGTGTCAACTAGGAAAGACAACATTAAACTCTCTATTTGCATATGTACATTTTTTTTTTGGTCAACATCGTTTATAATTTAAAACCCGTCAAAAATTTAAAAATTAATGGTCGAACTTCTTATTTGCATCATGATATTATTAGTAATTTAAAATGTTTTATGAAATTTAAATTATAAAAAAGTGTTTTTTTTTTTTATTTTTGTTGCATAATAGGAAGCAACAATCTCTTATCCCTTCTCACACTCCACTTGTATGTCATACAATTTGAACTTATGACCTCTTACTTCTAGTAAAAGAAAATGACTACTAAATTACTTAGATCGTTGATTATAAAAGAGTATTAATCATAAATAAAAATTATAAATAATATTGACTATATAAAAAAAATAATGTATAAAGTATAAATAACGTTCATCTAAGACAAAAGACAGCTTCTAGCTTACAATGAAGGAATGATTTGCCACCGTTAATTTGTTTTTTTTAGCTGGGAATCGATAGAATCCATGAGTTTGTTTAGTTGAATATTTTGTCCAATCACGTTTTTAATTTAATTTAACAAAATTATACATCCTCTCTTTGATTTAAACAAGTTTTCAGAGCTCTTATAAAAATATCAACTTATGTAAATTATTGGCATACCGCACTATAGATTATATATGATTAATCCTTTTTATTTAATATCATAAATATAGCTGTGACACTTCACAAAATTTTCATGTAACATTTTTCAGTTATTAAAAATGAATTGAAAAACTCTTTTTAATAACACATTATCTTTTTAAACTCCCAACCTTATGGCACATTGTAACTATATTTTTCTTTTGGTACATCACATTAGAACTTTTTTTTCTTTTTTTTTTTTGGTACGTCAATTTATAACTATATTGTCTTAAGAAAGCAGTGATTTAGATTAATTGTAAATTTTTAGAGTAATGATGGAGTAGTGATACAAATGACAAAATTTTGAGATCAAAATTTAAAATCAATAAAATAATATAAATTAGGCCAAAACCCCTATTTGCGCTCTCCATTTAATTCTTTTTCACAGTCAACACCTTCTAAATTTTTTTTTTTCATATTCACACTCTCAACTTTTCAAAACCTGTGAAAAACTCAATATTTTAATACACCATCACAACACCATTAAAAAATGTACTATGTGGCACCCAGAAATTGACGTGACAGTGTGACACTATGTGGCGTTAGTAATCCAATGTGAATCCTGTTTTTTGATGATGTGGCTTATTTTCTGCACACGTGGACGCCATGTGTATAATAAGACTAACAAAAAATTATAATATGTGATACCAAACAGTAATATAAATGTTATGTTACCTTATTAATATAATGTGGACTTTTTTTTTTTTATGATGTGGCATTTCATCATCTTTTTCTTTCCCCCTCATCCTTGGCATCATCTTCACCATCCTCTTCTCAATGGGTTCTACGGAACCCAGATTCTGGGTTCTTGCACGGAACCTAGATTTTGGGTTCCGACCATTTTTTTTTTTCATTTTTTTAGTTTGAATGTATTTATCTTAATTTCTTATTTTATGCAAAGCAATTTGGAATAATTTTTTTGTTGGAAATGTGAGTTTTTTTGCTTGGATATTGTTTCTAAACATGTTGCCAATTTGAGTTCAAGTGGGATTAACACTAATGGCAATAACGGTTTTTTCATTTTTTGTGG